CCGTTTCTCCTATCAGACGGAATAACTCACGAAGGTTACCAAGGGCAGCGGCCATTTCCATCTCTGATGCACGATTAGACCACAAGGATTCGCGGTCTCTCTTCAGGCTAGCACGGAGTTTTGCCCGGAGCTCTTTGCGAGTTTCATTGTGTTCGCTTCCAGCCGGAATATGCCGGCGAGCGTCGATAAGTTCCAGAGACTGTGAAGAGACCCAATGTCCATGTTGGCGATTAGACACACCACATGAGGATTTTCCTGCTGCTAGTAAGGCCTGGTGAATATGAGACCAGTGAGCTTCAATTACGTCCAGTTAGCGTTTATCCAACTCGCATGACAGCGTACTTCGGTAGGCATTCAGAAAAGCTGGCTTCGGCAGTTGGTTGGTGTCAATGCGCTCACCAAGTCGACATGGACGTCCGCCAAAGCGCATCCGCAGGTCAGCACATACAAGTGCATGATCGGTTTTCTACACATTTGCTCCAAATCGAGCGACAGTTCTGGACGCAGCCTCTCCAGCGGTAACTGATAGCAATGTGATCGATTTGCGTCCATAGCTGGTTCGAGTCTGGTAGGCGCCAAGTCACCTTTCGGCGGGTGCTGTGTCTGAAATTAGTGTTCACGAGAAATAAGCAAGCATCCTCACACAAATAAGTAACCGCTCATCGTTGTCAGTACGGGAGTTTATACCATGTTGGCCGACCAGATGCAGCTCATCTGCCAGCTAGCACTACAGTGTCCGAGCTTCTTCTGTGGCTAAAGAGCTCGTTCAGTTGACCATAGAAGTCGTCTTTTACCGAGTCATCGCTACAGTTTGTCGGGGCGGAGGCAGCGATGACGAATAGACACTTGTTAGTCCCACGTGACTTCAAAGTTTTGAACTAGCCAGCCAATCGGATCGCACACATCCGGCTAATGATTGGAATCCAATCAACCAGAGCAGCTTCAGCTCGGGGACTCAGGGCAATACCAACACTGGCTTGGCTGGTGCTCGAAGCTGCATCGTCACCAGATAGGCGCAAAGAGAAAGTGCTGCTAGTGTCACCTGAAGGGGATCGTAGAGTGAGTACGGAGCTCGAGTCTTACCAGCGGGTCTCCGATAGGCAGCAGATATTGATCGATAGTCCTCTAATGTTCGAGCCTGTTGACCGATCTGAAGCAATGTGCGAATATTGAGGCATACCAATCTGAAGGAGGAGAGCTCCAAATGGAATCGGATGAACTGGAATGGGCTGCTTGCTTGGACATGGGCCTGTTGACAGGGCAGGAATGACGCTCTGCGTTCACATGTTAGTTGAAACTAAAAGGCAAGCGACTATTGAAGCAACGTGGGGGTGGGCCGAGATTTGTGGGGTTGAAAACAGGGGGGATAAAAGTGAAGCTGGAACGGGACGATAAGGGTGAAAAAGCCCAAGAAGGGGAAGAAGAAGACGGGAAGGCTTGAGCAGTAGCATCCAAGCCCCTGCCCACACTGCCCGATGCAGCAGATAGGGCACAGTTGATTATCTTTTCTGCGGTGGCCAGAGCATCAGAAATTTATTTGAAGTGTGATTCATTGTATTGCGTGGGCAGGATACTGTCAGGTTGCCCAGGCCTAGACAGGAGAAAGATTTGGGTTCTGAACCAAAGCCTTTGAATCCAAAACCTGTCCGCAAAGCAGTGGGTTTGGTACTGGTCTACAAGGACTCCAGTTTAAGGAATAAGGAGCCACCCTCCTTCTAACCACCAACCTGGAGGACCAGGAGGCTGAGTTTGTTTGGCCTCTAACCATTGACCAATCTGATTTGAGTGGCTCTGAAGGTGCAAAAATGCACCACCCAGTATAGCTCAATGGATCACAGAGGCACACAAACCATCGCGCCAAGGTAAGGTCTAGCCTCATTTCGATGGAATCGATCCACCAGGACAACGTGATATACTAGAGTGAGTTATTGAATCGAACCGGAAACGCTTATACAAGCATGTTAATGGCCTCAGTAAGGTGTTGGGCGGAATTCCAGCATTGGTCACTGGACGGGTGCACGCAATCAGCAACTGAAGGGGCCGATGCCTTGCGGTTCCATTAATCACATACGTTCCACATACTAATGGGTCCAAGGAACCTCGTTGTTTCTATTTCCTCACCGTTAGAGTAATCCAATATCATCTTCACTGAAGTAGCTGTGTTAAAGTAATTGTCATCGCTGCGAGTTCACAGTATCCTTTTTTCGATAAGATTAGACCGAAGGCTTTACAGTCAGCAGCCGGTGAACTGGCAGATTCGCTGCCTATATTCTATCAGCGCTTTCCAGAGGACAACTCAATTCTAGCCGCGTGGAATCGAGGGATCATCACTCGTATTCATAAGGGAGGTAGCCACACTGACACAACCAATTAGCTACGATAACACTGCTTTTTGTATTGCTAAACCTATGGAAACAACCATCGCAAATGCACTGATGCATTGTCTGGAAAACAACAGCATTATATCACCGGACCATTACGGCTTCTGACCAAACCGCGCATGCAATACGAACCTGCTAATTGCCCGCCACAGATGAACTGAAGCCGTTAGTTTTGGAGCATAATTCAATGGCATTTACTCGGACTTCTCAAAAATGCTTGATCGCTTTAACCACGGATGTTTTCACCAGAGACTTAACATCTATGGAAATTGTGGCCGACTCCTGTGTTAGATAAGCAACTTCCTGCACGAACGTTAGTTGGAGGTGGGTGTACGAGAATCCCTGTCCGACGCAATTGAAGTGGAGTGCACTGTAACCCAAGGCATAGTGCTTATACCTCGTCTGTTCTTAGTGTACCATAAACAGTGTAGCGAGGGCGACTACTCGCGATTTCCATTTCGTCGCTTATGATATCAATATATTGCGATTGATTAGGGAATTGGACGACTAAGAGGAGCTTCAGTGTGACCTCAAGACGATTCCGAAATGGTCACTTAAGGATACCAAAGCACTCAGTGTAAAAAGACCTCGCGATGTTCATCTACAACCTGGGCATGACTAAGTGTACCGACTTTGGTCACACAGAATAAAAAACTATTCTTAAGAACGCGATCTTGGAGTGCGCATTCAAGTTGACCGTTACTACTGTAAAGAGTCAGAGACGGCTGCAAAATAGGCTATTGACACGTCTGCCTGCTGCGCAGTGCACTCGGGATCTATAACTCATAAATGTTCCCATGGTGCACAAATCTTACTTATGCCCACATGTTGAATACGTCATCCATCTTTGACAAAGTTGGTTGAAGTGCGACCTGGAGTTTCTGTAGTCACCACAGCGTAGGGCTACAAAGAATGTCAAGTGTCCACGAAATCTGTTCTATCTAAAAGACAGAATTCACTGGAACTTTGCAATGGACGCTATAGAATGTTGTGCAGCGATCTCAAATTAGTACAAGGAAACTTGTTTGATACTCACCACATATTACCTTACTTGCTGAAACTAAGTTATAACAAAACTTTCTGCGATAAAATTGTTGAAAAAGAGTGAACAATGCAACCGTCTGTAAACCCTGTGGAATTAAGTTTTCCTTCGGGTTTGCTAACCCTGGAACTCTCTTACAAACTGAAAGGTTACCTTACCCACCCTGGGTACATTCAAAAAACCGCCTAAATGTTGCCTTTGGATTCTAGCAGTTTGTTGCCTTGAAATATATTAATTAGCGTATGAAATTAATTATTAGTTGAACTATCTTAAGTATGCTTTTAAGCCGGATGCATAATTCACGTGAGCCTAAGCAGGTGATACATAAGCGAGCTTTAACTGCCTCCGTTCGGTTTTGTTTGTTGTATACAATTCCCAATTACACTACTATTATCCAACGACCCATGCGCTCGATCGACAGTCAAATAGACGACTCACAAATCTTTTGCTATTAGGATTATACCCCTACCATCCTGCGGTACTTGTCAATCGACTGCTATTTTAACCGTGATAAATTATTCTTCATTTTTCTGCTATTGCTTGGTTTCGCGCCGCAAAACCATTAATAAACTACAGTGAATTAATGCGCAACATGTGTGTCAGATCGAGCACAAATAACTGCAATGTATTGCCATTAAAACAACATAAATGTGCTTGTAATATATCATGCTAATTCATTGGCGATTTGAACGAAGTCTCATCAAATCTCAAATGCGTTGAGCCAAGTTGAGTTCAAAGTTATCAGAACCAGTGAAACACGGACACCGGTTTAATCTGCTTTAAAGCAGGGATTTCCTCGACGCAAATAGCTTATTAACTAGAAGAAATTGTGTTCACCCGCCAATTAGCAAGTTATTCGATATGACCTTGATATGAACACGTAGAGCCATTCCAGTTACGTTGCAAACGAATGATTATTGAATCTGATGGAATCTGCAGCATTCAACGGTCATACTAGCTATTTTGATTACTTGAGTAAACGAAGAAGTCGGATCACTGTTATAACTATTACGGAGAAGTTTGCCATCACATTGAACAGCTAAATCATCGACAGGTACCGATTTTTATAAAGTCATTTATTTTAATTTAAATCACTAAATCACACCTGTAGTTGCCAGAAACAAGCAAAATGGTTTTATTCAGCATAGCCATCGATGTACAGTACGTGTTGAAACGGTCTGTTTCTGTATGGAGACGTGCTGCATGGCAGGGATCATTTAAACTAAGGAATGTTAGCATCGGAAGATTCACACGCGATTGTTTTTGAGAATGTTGAAGCAGCACGTAGATTTTACATCCATTCAGGTCAACATAGTTTTCGATGATTGTCTAAAGTTAGAGGGTGTGAATTTCCATGTATTTTTGTCAGCTTGTACTTACTCACCGAGTAACCCAGCTAAATAGTTGGTAGCCGAAATTTAAAGGAATGCGCATCATTGTTTTCGTGAGATATAAGAGCTCTTGAAACTGTCTCCGACAGAGTTTCAGGCCATCTCCTTGGAAAAATGAACTGGCTACAGTTGATTGCTTCTTACACCTTACTTTGGTGCTCATATCCAGTGCGTACAAGATGCAAAATGATGGGTCTCATCCACTCTGGGTACCAGCACGAACCTTATAGTGATCAAAATATGTTACGTCACAATGGTTTGTTGTCGGAAAACAAAGAGAGGATTACGAGTCTCAACCCAGTGGCAAGAAATACTTTTCACGATACGACAAATCCAAAGGTAGGCTAACCGGATGAATTCATGCGGCAAATACGGTCATTTATTTTACAATTTTCGCGATGTAAGTGCAATGACCCATTGACATACGCACTCAGCTTTTCAGCTGGAAGTGTCCTTTACACTAATGCTACATTCGTTAAAACCTGCAGAGAGCGATTGCAACCTAAATGTGTCTAATATATGTCACCCCTAATACTAAATGACAATGTTGTTGAACTGCTGAGACGCCTCTATAGCTTAGAAAAACTAATTGTGTATATCGGTGATCAATCAGTATACTTGAAGGATACCGCCTGCTGACATCTTGGTTCGACTTTTGGCATGCTATTGTCGGCCCACTGTGCTAAGTTAAAGTTTCCCTGGTGTAACCAGTTTCTACAGGTGGTATTTACAGAGATTATGACATAAGTGCAGCAAACCATACAGCAGATAAATATCTCAATCCAATATGTGCAGGTGCAGCACCGTAGCAAATTGGTACGAATGGTTACTAGCTGCTTTGTGGGCTAGCAACATTAAAGTACAATGGTTTATCCAGTTGCTTATTTTGTCACAACTGTTTATTTACTTGTGTGGACTTTTAATCTAACCCAACGACTTAAATAGTATTTGTTGTCCGTCACACGGCCATTTTCACCTTATTCTAGTTAAAGAATGCACAATAATGTGAATAATTCACCCCTGGTATGTTTCTGTTAGCAATGCACCCACTGCAACTATCCTTCCTTTACGTTCATTCCTATTGGGTTCTCCGTAAACAGATACAGTCAGCTGCCATCAAACATGTGGAAGAAATTCAACAGATATCTTCAGAGGCTTTCATTGTTAACGTGGATCGTTACAGCAACTGGTCGAATTGGTCCAAGTGTGAGCGACACAATTGTGTTCAAAATCGCTATCGAGAGTGCGTCGACGATTCTTGGATGAAAATTAATCGCAATAAATACGGGAAAACAAACTGTACGACTAGGTTGCATATGGAAGTGCGCACGTGCAGAAATATGGCGCAATGTAGCCCACCTGGTAAGTGTTCAACTAATATGAACCCCACACAATAAATCCATTTAAAATCGGACATAACTGTAAATGAAATTGAGCATGCCATTTATAAATGTCTCCTTATACCTAAATGTGTTACCATGGTGTGTAAATGGCAGTGTGGTTCAATTGCCTAGTCGCATCCAAATAATGTGCGCTAACCAAGCTATTTTTACGAGAGACGCAATTATGTACTCAATTTTCACAATCAGTATCCAAAAATTTATATCTACATGCCATACCATAGTGAATATATGAAGGCTGTGATAAACGAGTGTCCTCGATTGGTCTACTGTTCCAGGATTACTGCATCTGAGGCGGTAAAATTTCGCTCGTTTTACTAACCAAATACAATGGAATGGAAACCAAGTACATATGTCCAAACTCAACTTGCAACCATAACTACAAATGGTACTTGGCAAATATATGAAATATAAGGTTTTATGTTTGCTAACGATGCATCATTTAATCATGTGTTTTTCGTGGCAAACTGAATAGAAATGTCAGATCAAGTTGGCCACTTTTTCTTTGTCACCCGATTTCTTTTGTGGTAAACTTTGTAAACCAGCATCCTAACAGAATTGCACGTCCTCTTAGGTGTAAGCAGAAACACTGCTTGTGATTTGCTTAACGGTTAGTGCATGCTAATGTATTCGACGAAAGTTGCATTGCAAAAGTCCATCTTCTTTAAAGCGATTTGATAAGCATCATGCACAGTCAGCAGAGCAAGCGAGGTCAAGCATAAGAGTCATGTTATTTCACAGTACCAGGTGCGAATGCACTACACATCCTGACTCAGTATATGTTTTGATAGATTTCCGGAGCAAATACAATCGTAACAGAGCCCTTTCCATACCCAGATCTCTCAGACTAGCAACCAAATACTTGTGCTTCTCCTTTCATTCAGCAATGCTGGCAAATTGTGGCGTTCGACCGGAGGACATAGGAGCCGCAGCAAATCGACTGGCTCGTTCAAGCATCAAGCCAATCCTATGGCCGTGGGCTGTGAGTTTATTCATTGCTGTTATAGAATATGCGTGTACCTTTTTACATCCATTCAAAACACTTCATACATGATTGTGCCAGTGGGGGTTAACCTGACCACTGAACTCGGAGTGAAAACAGAGACTAGCAAAAGTGCACACGTTAGCAAACGGCAACATATTTATTGTACACAGCTAAGGTGAATGAAAAGCTAATTTGAACCAAATAATAATCGCTTTATTAGTGGACTGCAGCCTGCCCATTTGAGCCCCGATCAAATGAAACAGTGCAACATTGGTTGGATAACGAGGAAAATTCAAGTTTGGCAGGTCCGGTTGGGAGGTCTGTGTGAATTACGTAACTTCGACTAAAAGTTAACTTAAAAACCACGAATCTGCGGACTCACCATGTTATTCACGTTAACATATATGTACACGTTTGTCCAGATTTCTTGGAGTTGATGAGCCCAAGGTGGGTTTTTTTTCCACGCCACTCGATGACCAGCGTTCAAATCAAGAGACGCGAATGATTAATGAACAATGAGTTTTCACGTGTGAGAATCATGTGCTTGACAAGTCCCCTTGGATGATAGGAGTGAAAAGTGGAATTGAAAGGATCAACGAATAAGTAACTCGTCATTTTAATCCTCAACCGGTTTAAATGCACTGCTGCATATCGATTATGCATCGTAGAGACTATGTTTAAAATGGGTAGCGTGGGCGCAGGTATAACAAAGGTCGAAAGTGCATTCCATGGTTGCGAAATTCGAAAAGATGTATAGTTCCGGCGGCAGTCCAGCCGACCGTAATGAGTGACCAGTTTCAGGTGATAACCAGTCCATTTGGTGTTGCGGATAAGTTTAGGGATATACCAGCATCAATGACCGGGCTTTTTATGTTCCAGTACGCCAGAGTGAGGTTGCATCGTAGACAGCGATAATTTCCCCTGCAGAACCTTAGGGATTTTGTTCGCTGGGGTATGGCAGCTGGGACAATCCCTGCAAGTTTTCGGTTGCCGTTCACTGTGCGGTCTCCATTTCAGCCAGATACGATTTAAACAGTGTTGCCAAGCACGAATCGCATACTCAACATAGGGTCTCAATTTGATGTTGAGTATTTGGTGGAAGATGGAGGGCCCGAACCGCCCAAACATCTTCCGTATGAGACCAACATGTTTGTTCGCGGTGTTGATGTCTGCGAGGACTGCGCCAAACAGTCGAGATCGTTTTGCATCTCCACCCATTATGGTCGTGCTTATGTGAGGCGGTCTTAAACAAGTCGGCTTCACGTTTTTATGAGTAAGTGGGCTAGTGGCGTACACGTACAGTTTTGTACTTGCCGGCGTTACACGGAAGTACATTTGTTTTTGACCATCAAGGAGCACGTTCTTGGTCTCGTTGAAGCATATTGTGATATTCCCGACTACCGATCGCCCGCCGTATCTTGAACTCATCCGCAAAAAGCAGGAAATTCCTTATGATTACACGCACTAAGACGCTGCTGAATATCAAGGTAAACAGGGCCCCAACACTGACCCTTGTGGAACACCAGAGTCTACGTCGATAAGATCAGAAAATGAGTTCCGAACCCAAATCTGGAGGCGCCGCTGAAGGAGAATACTTTTGATCCATCCAAGAACACGTCACCTATTGCCTTAGGTTTGATATTTTGTGGAAGAATTCGATCATCTATGCAGTCGTCTGCTTTAGGTATTTGGGATAGAAGACATCATGTTCGGTCCCGCTGTTGGCAGTTTGGGTTCAACAGCCACCCTCAATCAGTAGATTGGTTTTACATGACGGACGCTGTAGGAATCCGGGCTGCTCCTGTGTTATGCTGTTAGATCTTTCTAGATAGCCCATCAGTGCCTCAGAAATGGTCGACTCTATCACCTTTGATAGCACCGGGTGTTGCTGTGCTTTCCTTGTATACGATCTTTCGTTGAATAAGCCAGATATTTTTCTAGTTCAATAGCTGATAAATTGAAGGCCAGCCGCCGGAACTTAAAAGGTTGAACAGACGGTCACATGGCTTTAATGCCAACATATTGTAATACTCCGTGAATTTTCCAAATATAATGGACCGTAATGTTGCAGATCAAACAATGCTTAAATTGGAAAACACTAGTTTGGCAGAGTTATGTCCCTCAGCACGTCATTTATGCTTGTGAATAGCATGATTAATTGATTTGTAAATACGATATTCGCTAGGTTTTGCTTTGGTAGGTTTGGGTTAGGTAATAACCTAGTCGTCATGTTCTAGTCACGTGACTAAATAGTTACAGATGTTGTGACACATGTCACAGATTTGGTGCCCCTGAGTTTACGTCTCTGTCCACTATATTACGTAATTTATTTAAGTCAATTTAAATAAATATAAGCATTGTCCGCCCACGTTGATGCATTTCTATTACTTCACACAAAACTGCGGAATATATTACAACAAAACATCAATGAAAACTAACCATTGACAGCAGTACAAGGAAAAGCTTATGTTTCTAAGCGTTTTTCTCCTCCACAGCTGCTTAAACAATGAAGTAGAAATCAGTTATTTGTAAATAGTTTGTCTCAGTGGCGCCACACAGATCAAAACAGAGGACACTATAGTCCGTGAGATGTTTGCTTAGGGCTGACAAGTCTTCATACGTGAAACCCAAAAATCAGTTGAAATAATTTTACCTGTACGTTTCTACTCTTATCTGATGAACGATTCCATTGCTTAACCGTTTTGTACGGTCTCTTTATCAGCGCAACATAGTTGACCTTAGTGCATAACTCGAGGTGAATATTCACTATATATTGGTTGAAATTATCAAGGGTTGCGCGCTTGTAATTAGCAAACAGCTCGTTTTTCCAGTTGGAACCAACTAGATGCGCATGGTTCCGGTGGGGAAGTTTCCTGAACTGGATGAGCCCGTGACGTTAATGAACCTTGTGTCCCCTTTATTGTCGTTTCTGGTGAGAACCCTATGGATCTTTCTGACTTGGATATAACACTAAAGCAAGGTGCTCCGCAACATTTGTAGCTCGAACGGTGCTGTGTTCAGAGCTATAGGAATGTACCAACTAGGAGAGTTATGCAATTGCACTGCTAGATTAGTTTATATCCAATAGACGACAGCTTAATGATGTTATTGACTACGGCGAAGGCTTTGAAACGAATTTACCACAACTATCATTAAATTTGTTGATAACACCTCTACTAGAACGTTGTAGTTCTCTTAGGCGGTCGCAACTTAGCTTAATGAGTCCAACATTCATGTGAGCATGCAACCAAAGTATTACAACAACACTATAAGTGCATTGGGAAACTATCTTCCCTGTAAAATATTAATAAAATGGTCAGCTTTCCGGATACTTTATACTATGTTTCTGGACAGGGTTACGAAAAGCTGCGCCCTGTTTATGAAACTGCGATAAAGTTCTACTCCCAGCAAGCATGATGCCGTTACATTGTACCCTAAACTTTTCTTGACTATTGTTCTGAAGTTCTGTTAAGGCTTTCATCTGGAGTCATTTACAATCTTGTTGCCTACTCAAAAGAGCCGTTTTACTTACAGAGTACGGGAGTGGAGGGTTTCAGTTTGGCTCTCTCCCATCCCTGCACTCCACGACCGACGGTTTCGCTTTTGTTTAGACTCATCAGGTAGAGATATCCGAGCTGGGAGCGGAACTCGGCGCATGGTGCTTGATGGCTATTGCCATGTTCACAAGGCCATTGAGCTGCGCGTGCAGCGTTTGACACAGCGGAGTGATTGATTCGCGGTTGAAATTACCTGCAATACGGGCTAGGTCAGATGATGAATAAGCACTGCAGTCAGGATGAGGGTTGGTTTGTTAAATGCGCCATGGAAAACCCAGAATCCAAAGTGTCATTTTATAATGAAGATGGTTATGCATGATTAAGTAAGGTTAGCTTTGGGGTTATGCTTAAGTATTAACGCAATTATTTCCTCATTCCAGTAAGGTAGTATATTTAGCAGCAAAGCACTTCTAAAGCGGGATAGATTGACTTGCAAAATGGCTTAGCACACTGGATTGTTTCGGTGTCTATCTGGAATAATGACAAGAAGGAAGCATCGGTGTGGCATTCACCGGTCGACATTAAACACAGCAACCAAACAGCAGGCTCCCGCCACCAGCGAACCTGACGACCTCTACGTTGTTGCGATAACTCAAATCATCCACATTATTTGACAACATGGGCGACAATATAATTGGCTTATTTAAACATAAGATCCAATTTTTTTAGGTACATAGCAGCTGCAGTGAGTACTGGATACTAATATCCCGACGACACGCCATCGTCCGAATTCTCAGGCCCCGCCAATGCAGGTGCATAATATCGGTTTTGTGTTGTTCTCGAAAATAATTCGATTACACATTGCTTAGAAAATTGCTAGTGGCTTATCAGTTCATCGGGAAATTTTGTTTTCAATATTTCTTTTTTCCAGGCTTCTGTCGGTCGGGGATTTAAGAGCCGAACGAAGCTGTGGTGCAATGTGATTTCCTGAGAAATTTCCTCTATCTAGCAGCTTAAGTTGTAGTCCGACAGCAGTTGTTGAATTCTATTGTCTGACCAGTGGAAGACATAAGTTGCGATATGTCAACATTTCGATTGTTCTCATCAGTCGCTTACACACTTAAAATGGAATGAAAAGACAGTTATATCCAGGGGAAAATTAGCACACCAATCAAAATATCAAAAGCAAAACCACGGTAAACTAATTGATTCTCTCAGCGCACGCTCATCACAAGTCAATTGGGGTGGGCAGTACCTCCACTTTTCCACATTTGCCCCGGTAGCATACAAACGCGGCCTAGTGAAAACGCTGTTCTCCAGAGCCAGACGGATATACCGCCCCGAAATGTTGCAAGCTGCAGAAAAATTTTTGTTCAAAACATTGGTGTCAAATGCGTATCCTGGAATGTTCCTTCCGATCCACAGCAGGCCTCCGAAGAAGGAAATACCGGTGTTAACAACAGAGAAAAAGGAATGCTTATTTGTTAGTGCCGTTCAAAA